GAAGCAGATAAACCAAGAACAAATTGTACTGAGGAGGTGAAATAAAAAGATGTGCAAAGATGTTTGTTCTTGGTTCTATGATGTTCAGACAGTACCCCGCTTAAAAAAATCACAAATATGGATGTCAAGGGTGAGGGGCTACCCGAAAAGGCTAATGCATTCCATGGGCAGCTAACAGAGGACAGAGAAGAAGGGGGTAGGTCATTCCATTCTGCAATCAAGGGAAGACACCCAGGGCTCTGTGCTGGGTGATATTCTGGGAGGAGAAACATGGAATAGAGATGGTAAGCACAGCATTTGTGTGTGGAAGAAGGAAAAGACTCCTGTCAATAGGATTAGAACCCAGTTAATGGAAGCAAGGGAAAACCTTCCTTAAGCTCTGTGTGAAAACGGAATGGCCCTGGCTGGGTGGCTCAGCTGGTTGGAGTATTGTCTTGTACACCAAAAGGTTGAAGGTTTGATTCCCGGTCAGAGCACATACCTAGGTTGTGGGATCGGGCTTTGTTTGAGGTGCCTACAGTAGGCAACAGATCAATGTTTCTCCCATGGATGTTTCTGTCTCTTTCTCTCTCCCTTCCTCTCTCTCTAAAGTTAATGAAAACATATCCTCACGTGTGGATTAAAAAAAAAAGAAAATGAAATGAATTATCCTGTGAGGCAGGGAGTTCCCTTTCCACTGATCCACTGGAAGGGCTTTAAAGCTCTAGATCAGTGGTTCTCAACCCTACGGCCCTTTAAATACAGTTCCTTATGTTGTGATCCCCAACCATAAAATTATTTTCATTGCTACTTCGTAACTGTAATGTTGCTACTGTTATGAATCATAATGTAAATATCTGATATGCAGGATGGTCTAAGGCGACCCCTGTGAAAGGGTCATTCGACCACCAAAGGGTTCGCGACCCACAGGTTGAGAACCGCTGCTCTAGATCAAGGGTGGACAAACTTCTTCCTGCAAAGGGTCAGACAGTAAATGTTTGTGAGCCATACGGCCTCTGTGGCAACGATTCGACTCTGTTGCAGTGTGAAAGCTGACACAGGCAATGAGCAAATGAATGAGCATGACTGTGTCCCCATAAAACTATGTGTAGAAACAGGTGATGGGCTGCATGTGGCTGAAGCATGGACGTGACCATTTGCCAAGTCCTGCTCTGTCTGCATCCTTGCTTCTCGAGAGTGATCCCCGGACCAGCAATTTCAGTATTGCCTGGGAACTTGTCAGAAATGCAGAATGCAGGCCCCGTCAGACCTACTGAATCTGAGTCTATATTTCAACAAAGACCTCCATGTATAGGCCTATGCACAGAGAGGTGATTCACATGCACACAGAGTTTGGGAAACATGAGTGTAGATGAGTGGTATCTACATTGGAATCCAAGCTGGGCCAGCAGCATCAGAAATCTCCCCAAAATAGATAAAAACCATACTCTTGGCCTTGACCCCCCCTCTTCCTCCTCCCTCCCCCCCCCCCCCCCCCCCCCCCGCCCCGCGCCAGGTTCCAATCCAGTGGTCTGGATGGGGCTCAGGAGCCTATATTTTCACACAGATAAGGCTAAGGTTTGAAACCTCTGGTCTGGCAGCCTCAGAGGACCCCTCTAACTAAGTTTCTGTAAAGCCACTTAAGAGAACTAAACAAAGATTTGACAAATCTGTTAATTTTACTTTCTTGTTCTTGTTTTTTCCCTTCCGCTTTTCAGTTTAAAAAACAACAACGCTGCTTTCCTGTTTCAGAAAGAAATCTTGCCTAACAGTTGCCTATGTTATGAACTTGACCAAGAACAGAACACCCCAAAAAAGCCAGTTATCAAAAAGTCCTAAGGCGCCACCTGCTGGTGTCCTTGAGTGCACCCACATTTGCACAAAAGACTTCCCTCAGGGGGTACTGGAGGCCACCAGCAATAGATGGGAGAGAAAGGGAGAAGGGAAAGGAAAGGAGACATGGAAGAAGTAGGTGGGGGAGAAATTACAGTATTAATTATACCACTGCCATAAACTCTATGCTGATGATAAGCACATTGAAATATTACATGGAGTAACTTCTCTGGGGGGAGGTTGGGTCTCCTGGTTTAATCCTGGCATCAGAACTGAACTGAGAAGTGTCCACATCAACTCTGAGCCTCTCACCCAGAGCCAGATGCTCCTAGAGAGCTACGCCTGCTTCTGAACAGGACGTACGAGCTCCCCATTCCTCTCCTTCCCCCGTGTGTCCTTCCCTCCACGGATGTGTTCTGCACACCCACCATGAGTTACACACTGCCCTAGCTGTACACCGACGAACAAGACCCAAGCATGGTATCTGCCTGTACGGAACTGAGTCCTAGAAATAAACAGCCACTTAAGTAGAACTAAGGCTAGTAAGTGCCATATCCCAGGGTGATCCCAGGGAATGTACAACCAGGCAACACAAACCGCAACGGGGTACAGCTGGTATGTAGCTTAGCCGGCACCTCATGCTTTGGCTCTGTGTCTTAGGCAGGGCATGTGGTATTTCCTGGAGGCTTCACATCAACCCTGCTGGCTCTGGAAGCAGTTTGAATTGGCAGCAACCCTCAGTCTAGGGGTTCAGAGGAAGCTTCTAGGTGGAAATGACATTGAACCCGTGACCAGAACAATACATTAGGAGTTGACCAGATCTGGGGGTGGGGAGGGTTGCCAGGGGAGGAGTCTTCGAGCAGAGTGTGTTTGAACAGAAACCGGGGACCTGAGGGAAGTCAGGTTCCCTGGAGCACACGGGGTGGTGAGGCTGCATTGAGAAGTGAGGCTGGGGTGGTTCACAGGGGCCAGAGGGAGAGTGAACACAGTTAGACAAAATGGTTTGCTTTTTCAAAGCAATAGAGACATTTTGTAGGGACCTGAAGGGCTGTTATTGTTCTTGTTTTTAGGGAAATGACAGCCAGACAGGCAAAAAAGAGCACCTGTGATTATGTGGAAATAGCGGGAATGAAGGCAGCAAGGTGAGGGATGACGGCTGGCCACCCTAGAGAAGTGGACGGAGGGATGAAGGATTTAAGAGCTACAGAAAGTAGAACTGATGGGACTAGGGACCGACAGGATGTGGGGGGAAGGAAAAGGAGTCAAAATGGCTCTCAGATTTCCGGCTGAGGTCACAGGGTGGATGGTGTGACCCTAACTGAACTACAGGTCCAGGGGGGGACAGGAGGGAAGGTGAGTTCAGCCTTGAACTAGTGTTGGAGGCATCTGCCAGACCTTCAAGTATTCAAGTTCAGGACACACTGGGAGTGTGGACTGGAGCTGAGGAGAGCAGGCTGGTCAGAGATAAAGACCTGGAGTTGGTGGCATATGGAAGCTGAAACAAGAGAGATGATGTGATCCAGGGACAGGGTGAAGCAGGAGAAAAGAAAAGCCTAGGACAGAGCCCAGAGGAACCCCAACTTCTCAGGGATGGGCAAAAGAGAAAGAGTCTGCCAGGGAGACTCTGCCCCAAGGGTCAAGAGGGCATCTGCAGGCGGGCATGGTCCACAGAATTGGATGCCCGAGCAAAGCCAAGTAGGATGAACCTTTATGAGTGAGAACTGATGTAGCAACAGGGAGGTGGTTGGTGATCTGGGCAAGATCAGTTTGGTGGAAAGAAATGTGCTGAAGTGTTAATGGGAAGAGAACATGCAGAAAAAAAAAAAAGAGGAAAATGGGGGCTGAGTTCCTTCAAACACGCGATTGGGGGGATCTAGTACACAAGTGGGGAACAAAGGGGTCTGGCCTTTGGTCAGGAGAAGGGGCCTCTTCCATTTATCAAAAGGGAAGGAAGAGGCTGGTGCTGCCACCGGGACCCCTGGTAGGTCTGATGCAGAAGCTGAGCATGTTTTCATGTCTGCGCTTCCATTTTCTTTGAAAGTGTTGGGGGAGAGGGTGGGGATGATGTAGCTGGGTGTCAAGTACATCCTGGGAGCCAGGATTCTACACGAAAGAAGTGCGGCAAGAGTAAGAAAAAATACAGGAAGAGGACACAGCTTCATGCCCAGCTGGAACTAAGGATCTCCCGGTCAGCAGTGGGCTCTGTTGCTGGACAGCATTCTGCTGGAAAGACTCTCCTTGTGTCCAGCTGGGAACTTTCACCCACAGGTTAGAGTGCAGACGTCTGAAGCCACACATGTGGGAGAAACATCTGAAATCTGAAGGAGGCCCTGGGACCTTGCTCTCCCACTATCAGGCCATGGGACTTTGGACAAGGCAGCAACTGCCGTGGTCCTCAGCATCCCCTCTGTGAAGTGAGAGCTTGGATGAGGTGACCCCAGTCATCCTCACAGACACGAGTTCACTGACTGTGGACAGGACTAAAGAAAACCAATGGGAAAAGTTTTCTGAGCTTGAAAAAGAAGCCAGCAATCCAACGTCTAGGGATCTACTCAAAAGAACTGAAAGTAGGGACAACAGATGCCTATAGCCGGTTGTTACACCGACAAAGGCCTTCTTACAGGACATCAGTCTTTCATTTGCACAGCACACCCTTCTCATTTTCCCCATGATCCCCAGCTCTCTCTCCCCTGCCAAGGCCCCCTACTCCACCACCTCCAAAGCTGGAGCACCCCTCAGACCTCGTCCCTGTTACACTCACTCCCCAGACAACCCCATCCAATCCCATAGCTTTAAATCCCATCTATCCTCTGAAAACTGCTATAGAGGGTGGGGCAAAGGTAGGCTCACAGTTGTGAGTACATGAAACAGAGTTATTCCTGTAATATTTTTTAATCTTTGTATGTATTACTTTCCATACAAACAACTGTAAACCTACTACCTTTGCCCACCCTATATTTATGCCTCCACCCACCCTCGGATCTCCAGAGCCACAGCCCACTGCCTATCTGGCCATCCCGTATCTCTGATCTCACGTGTTCAAGCAGAATTATTTGGTTTTCCTCCTAAACCTTCTCCTTCCTCAGACTTCTTCATCTTCAGTGTAGCAAATGGTCTCACCTTTACCCAGCACCTAAAACCTTGGTCATGTCATGTCCTTGATTCTAATCTTTCCTTCTTCTTCCCAGGCCAATCAGGACATCTTGTTGGCTCCACCTTCTGTGATGCCCCCGCTCTGTCTCCTGCCCACCAGCCCTGCTGCTATCAATCGCCTGAGCCCAGGGGACAAGCTCCGCTGCCCGTGAGCCAGATCCAGCCACAACCACTCGTGCACATGTCATCCACCTCGGCAGAGCCGAGTAACGGCAACAGTGACCGCAACTGGCAACGATGAAAAAATGTGCCCTCTGACCCTTCAGAGCAAAGTTTGCTGACCCCTAGTCTAAGCATCTGATCACCTTGGACAGTCCTTTAGTGTAATCCTCTAACCGGCAATAAAACACCAACTGCTGCTCTTTGAGTGTTTGTTCTTTGCCTTCTCAGAAATAATAACGTCCCTTCCTCTCCATTTTCTGATCAAAACCCTGTGCCTCCCAAGTGGCACTCTTCCTGTCTCTGTTCGCTCCAGCAAACCCTCACTGAGGATTAACTCCTGGAAACACCATGCTCACCCCGCTCAAGACCTGCAATGGCTCCCAATGTCCCCCCACCGTGTAGACCAGTGATGGCGAACCTCTTGAGCTCGGCGTGCCAGCATTTTGAAAAACCCTAACTTAACTTTGGTGCCGTGTCACATATAGAAATTTTTTTATATTTGCAACCATAGTAAAAGATTTATATTTTTGATATTTATTTTATATATTTAAATGCCATTTAACAAAGAAAAATCAACCAAAAAAATGAGTTCACGTGTCACCTCTGACACACATGTCATAGGTTCGCCATCACTGGTGTAGTCTGTACACCTAGGTAGTTTTCAAAGATTCTCTATAACCTGGCCTGACCCTCCAGAGTTGATCAAGGCCCCACTGCTTCCCAATAGAATAAACCAATGCCTTCCCCTCTCCCAGAAGGTGCCATGTGCCTTCCCCAGGCAGTGCCTGTCATCCTTTTCTTTCTCTACCTTCTTATTTCTATCATCATTTCAATATGTTCACCATTCCCTCACACTGAAACAAAACAAAACTTCCTAGACCCCAAACCCTCTATTTACCACTGAGTTTGTTGCTTTCCTTTCTAGGACAGAGATTTTTCTAAAAATGAAAAAACATCTGAAGAAATTGTCTATTACTGTCATCTTTATTTCCTCGCCTCCCACTCACCCACTGTCATCCGGTGCCCACTTCTCCATTAAAGTCACTCCTGTCAGGATGACTAGTAATTTCACCAAATCCAGTAAGTTCGGTTCCACCTTTATTGCATTCTTCTCTCAGCAGCATTCAACCACACTCTCCTTTTTTTTAATCTAGCTTCCTGTTTATTCCTTCTCAGTATCTTCAGTATCTTCTTCACATGTTTGTTTTCTTCACTAAACAGTGAGTTCCTAGAGGAAGGGACCACGGCCTGTGTGGTTCTCTGATAGCAAATATACTAGAATGTCTATGGCAGGCCCTCAACCAATGTTAGCAAAAACCAACTCCCTGCCACTTACTGTTTTCAGTTTGAGAACTTCCATTTCCCTGGGAAATTCTCCATATTATCTTGATTCTTTGAACATTATATTAATGATTATTTTCAAGTGTGTGTCTCATAACTACTATTATCTGGAACTCCTGTGGGTCTGTTTCTAGTTCTGGTTTTTCTCTTGACTTTCTTACACCCTGCCTTTTTAAAAAAATATATTTTATTGATTTTTTACAGAGAGGAAGGGAGAGGGATAGAGAGTTAGAAACATCGATGAGAAACATTGATCAGCTGTCTCCTACTGGGGATGTGCCCGCAACCAAGGTACATGCCCTTGACCGGAATCGAATCTGGGGCCCTTCAGTCCGCAGGCCAAAGCTCTATCCACTGAGCCAAACCGGTCAGGGCCCTGCTTATTTTTAATTGAGTGCTGAACATTACATGTGAAAAACTGGTGCAAGAATCTGAGGCTCTGGATGAAGGGACCCCTCCTCCAGAGAGACTGGTTTATTTTGGCTTCTGGTTGGCAGGCAGGCTGGAGAGACGCGGATAATCCCGCATCTCACTCATTCCATTGGTACTGAAATGATTCACACCAGGGCTCTAGTCCCTCTGAGGGCTGGTTTAATTCTGGATTACCACTTCTGTTCAGCAATGGCCTTTCAAGCCTTGGATGTTGAACAGTGTCCTTCCAACTAAGGCAGGTCCCAACTCCAATTTTTGTCTCCAGCTCTATGAACCTGGCAAGAGCTCTCTCTGCTCAGATCCCAAGCCAAACTTCCATCCAAACAATCCAGACTGCCACCGCCAGAAGAGAGCTCCTTAATCCTCACTAATACTCACAACCTAAGGCTTGCCCACCACGCTGCTCTGTCAGATCTCCCCTCCCACCCTGCAGGAGCAATGGGAGCCCAGAGACCTGGTTCTAATCTCAGCCAGCAACTCGTCCCATGACTCCTAGGCTTGACCTTTCCAGGGACCCCTATCCTTCTGTGTAAAATGCAGTTGGATCAAAATCTCTGGCTTTCTTCCTGCTCTGAAAGTTTTGCAACCTCTAACCTTTCTGACGTAAGGACAATCCCAGGCTATACATTCCTCTTCTGTGGATCCATCATTGCCCAGCCCTGATTACAACTTTCTATTCTCATAAGAACATTATAACAAATGGATTTAAAATGACAACAGCAGGATGGATGGAACTGGAGAGCATTATGCTAAGTGAAATAAGCCAGTCAGTGAAAGGAAAACACCACATGATCTCATTTGTGGAATATACTAGTAAAGAACATTATAAACTGATGAACAAAAATAGATACAGAGGCAAAGAAACATCAAACAGACTGTCAAACTACAGTGGGAAGGCTGGGGGTGGGTGGAGATAAGAGATCAACCGAAGGACTCGTATGCATGCATATAAACATAACCAATAGACACAAAACACTGGTGGGGGGAGGTGAGGGAATGTGCCGGGGTGGGGGAGATAGGGGAGGCCGGGGAAGGTCAATGGGGAAAAAACGGAGACATATGTACTACTATTTGTAATACTTTAAACAATAAAATAAAATTAAAAAAAATAAAACTACAACAGCATGGATTTAGATTTGCAAGCAAAGCTGTTCAATTTCTGGAACTGTGCCCTTTCATACTGAAGAGCCTTATTATGTCTTGCCCTGGCTATAAAGTCATGCAAAATGGATGAGAACCCAACTAACGCTAAGGCTGAAAGTCAAAGAGAAAAGCCCAATCCCAAAGAAGAGAGTCGCTGTAGGGCATCACTATGCCTAACGGCACACAATAAATAAACATGAGGGGAACAGGCCTGAGTCTTAGCCAAGGACTTAAATTATTCTTTTTAAAAAAGAAGGACGCTGACTGTGTTTGGCAACAGGCCAAGGTGGGAGAGCAAACTTCATCCTTTGCCTTTTCAGAAGCTAAAATACCACACTTTCCCCAGTGGAGGAATAGCAGAAGGTACACACACGTTCTATCTGTGTTCACCCTGGACAAAAGAACCAGTGGTTGAAGATAATGACAGGCCGAAACAAAGCCCTACTTTCGTAAATGCAGAGAAGAGAAGACCTCCTGGGGCCTCTTCACTCTGCAGAGAACGTCCTGCACAAACGTGCCAATGCTGGCCCAGGTTCTGCCCTGCCCAGCCTCTTTGTCCCCTTCCCCCACCACCACCACCCCCCACCCCGCCTCCACCACTCCCCCGACCACAGAGCTCCTGCCTGTACCTCTTCCCTATAGGACACAGGCGTCTCCTATGCAGTGTCTCCCCTTCCTTGCAGTGTCTGTGTCCATCAGAAAGCAATCTATTCCAAAAGCTGTGCTGCAGCCCAGACCCCCAGAGGGAGTCATCCCTGGGCGTCTCGGTGCTCAGTCACACGCCGGCTGGAAGCAAATGAACTCTCTGTTGGTCCCAAAGCTATGCTTGGGTCCTCTCTGCCACTATCTAACAATGCGCATTCAGGCATTCAAAACGTACTGAGAGCCCACTACGGGCCAGACACTCAGGTGGGCCTTAAGGATAGAAAGGTGACCAGGATACATGAGGTGCCTGCCGTTACGGAACTCAAATGCAAAAAGTGCCTCAGTTTCCCCATCTGCTAAATGAAGGTGCTGGACCAAGTTCCTGAGGCTCCTTCTGATTTTAAAGTGCTACGGTTGTACAATCGGAGTTAAGCCCTGCTTGGCCGGATGTATCTGCGTGGCAAGGGCTGGCACAGCCTCCCTGGGCCTCGGTACCCACATCTCTAAAGCAAACAGGTGACATGGGGGAAAGTCCCCATTACCTTGTGCAGGCACAGGGGGAGGTTTCCAGCGTCGCCCTGCAAGGAGTCCGTCTGCTGAACAGCAGCCCAACAGTAAGAATCCACGAAGGCAGCCTGACGCCAGGAGAAAGAACTTGGGGAGAAACAGCTTATCTGTGTACCTAAGAAAGAAAACAAAAACAGATCGTTCCAGGTGAATGGAAGCGCAGGGTCTGGACCCCTCCCACCCCGCGCCCGCCTCTCCCTCCTGCCTCCGGTTTTCCAGTGTGAGCTAAGGTGGGGAGCACCACCAGGTGTAAGGGCAGAGCTGAACCAAATGCCCAAGTGCATGATAAAGCTGAGTATTTGAGAGTTTTTGAGGCCAACACTGGTCATGACAGCAGCTTGCGCTCAGGTGGGGGAAACTCTTAAAAGAAGTAAAACAACCATAAAAAGAAAAAGCGAGCAGGAAAAGAACCTGAGCCAAAAACGGAAGGAGGAAACCTGCATAGAGTTGGTTTCCTTTGGGGTGAGGGGTGAGAGAAAGGAGGGGGACTACAGGGTGGGGGTGGGGCAGGGAGGAGGAGAGTCAGTGCAGACAAGCAGACTAGAAAGGAAGGCCTCTTGGAACAAAGAAACAAAGAACTTTTGGCCCGAGGAAGAGAAGGCTGATGGAACATTTGGCAATACTTTGCCTGATGACAAATCAGCAGCTTTCCATCTCCTCTAACAAAAAAGGCGCAGGCTGAAACTGCAGCCCAAGTGTTCGCATTTGGAAGGCAGACGCTCCGGAAGGCAAGCCTCCAGGCAGGGAGATGGGTGCTGGATGGGGAGCCAGGAGAGCTGGGTCCCGCTTGCTGTTACCTTGCTCTTCTGGGAGCTCGGAACTCAGTCCTCTCCTCTGCAAACTGGGACTACATCAGTCTGCAAATGCTACCACTCCCTGCTACCTGAAGACTCTCCACGCTCCCCGAGGGCCTGTGCGCCCTCCTGACTCACACAGGCCATGTGGGAAATTGGCCGAGACTTTGGGGGTGCAGGGCTGAGGCCGTGCCCCCACTCCTTGATAGCAGGCACAGCACCTGGCACTGAGCCTCTC